AGATCTCTCTCTCTCTCTCTCTCTCTCTCTCTCTCTCCCTCTCCCCCTTTTTTTCCAGCAATGAAATGCCAATAAATCTATAGTATCTAACAAATACCTTTCATTCATGAGGATGGTTTATGTTAAAACATATAATGGACCTTTTCTTAATAACTTAAGTTTTTGAAAGTTGTGGTGACCCAATTAAATTTTTAAGATGATGTCAAAGTAGGTTATGAGTTTCAATTATATATATCATGTTTAATTAAAAATATATATTGTCGATAATTTATATAGGGATCACTCGTGAATAATATGAAAGAAAGGGATTAATGTGTAAATAAACCTAAAATTAGTGAGTGTGCATATAAAAAAAATATAATTAATTCTCAAGGCCATTTTTAATGCTTTTAGAAAACAAACAAATCAATTGGTATAGTTTTAATTTTTTTTCCGACATAAATATATTCGTTTAATGAACTCTTATTTTTGGAATTATCATTGTCAAATATTAGGTAAAAGGCTACTTGTTCTCCATCAATTTTTGGATCAAGAAATAACAATAGCGAGGAAGTAAAATTACTGCTAATAAATTAGCTCCTTGTCGTTCATTTCTTACTAATAACATGACATAGATGCTCAAATCGTGAGATGGGATTTTAATTACATATTATCAAATGAAAATATTTTTCATTCTAAAATATAAGAAAAATAAAAGCTTAGATTTTAGAATCTACTATGATCTTACTCTTCACATACTATTTAGATTGGCAGATCAAATCCAAAAAGGGTCAAGTGAACTCATTGCTTCTGCAGTCAGCTGTGGCTTCCTTGCGAAATCTTGTAATGTGTTTGTCCATAGTAATAATGTTTGAACTAATACCAAAAAAATAAAAAATAAAAAGAATTATGAGCTGATAATGCAATTATCTTCCTGAATTCCTTACTGGTCTCACTAGTTTTTGACCATAATACCTTTAATTTCTCTCCTATCATCCATGCATCCTGATCTTATTTTTCCATTCTATTTTGTTTTTTCGAGAGAAAAGGTGAAAATTTCTATTTGTTCAATTAGAATAGATAACTCGAGAGGGTAAGCCTCCCTACAAAAATCATTCATCCTAAACATTCTAGCAAAGTTCGTTAACCACTTG